TTGCTCTAGAAAAATCCAAATGTTACAGAAGAAAACATTATTAAGGTAGCTTTTTATTTCTTTGGGTAAATATTTTAATTCAGCTATATTTTCAAGTGTACATTTTCTTAGTGGTTTCACTATACTTAAGTTTAAGGTTAAGCTTAAGGACTTCATTTCTCTTAGACGTTTATTGATTTTATATCAATGTTGCAAATTTGTTTTAAGAAGGATAAGAAATACAATTTAAATTATATCTTAGTCTAGACTTTAAATATTTTAGTATAGTTCATTGGATTTGGATTTTTATATACAGTATGCAACACATTTTAGCGAAGTTAAAGGGAAAGCTGGTGATGTGACACACTCTGCATTATTTATAAACAATAAAACTTCTCTTTAATACTCTTCAGGGTGAATTTAGTATAAATCACAGTCAAATGAGACAGTCTTCCTGAAATATGTCAGTGATACTAGTGAGCATGTCATCAGCACATCCTCACAATCATTTTTCAATGGACAGGATGATTTGCTTCCAATGGAATCTCCATCTAAGAAATAGTCCCATGAGAAAGCAACTGACTTTCATGTGAAGGGTTATAAATCAGATTTATAAAGCAGAACTAAGAAACAGAGTTTTCTTATTTGTGGTTTAAATGAATACATGTATACTATTTGTTTGTGAAAATTATTTTGAGAAAGTACACACAATGTAGACAGTAACCTGAAAGAAAAAGAATTAAATCCAGGCTATAATAATTAGTAAATATGCTTTACTTTGTGTTACCCATTTCATGCTTTCCAAATACAGTATGAGATACAATAAGACAAAACTTAGAAAATAGTGCTGTTCACCATATATGTTAAAATTATAAACTTGGCAGTGGTTAGAATAATCTGTAGACCTGGTAATAAAAAAGCAGTACAATAGCACAATAACAGAGTACCACTCTCAGACCTCATATATCCTCAAATGGTTTATTTTCTGTTTATGCAGCAGGCAAAACACAGAAAGCCCTGGTTGTCATTTTCTTGTAACAGTTCAGAAACATCAGCGTAAGCCATCACTCATATTTCACCAATCCAGTGAGAGGCATGAGGCATTCAAAGCAGAAAAAGGGATTTGATTTTACACAATGCTTTGCAGCAAGTGTTAAAACCATATAGAAGATAAACTATGATTAACCGAAAAACAGTTTTGTTAAAGAATAATCAAGATTTATCAGTTAAAATATTGCTGTCTTTTCTCATTATTTCTGCATTGTAAGCTATATACTGTACTGTATTACTGTGTGCTTTAGTTGTCCCTAGATAAGATGTCTGCTAATAGCCCTACATGGACTGTTCTCATGACCTCTCTAATTTTACCCCTGGTTCACCCTTTCTCGCTGTTTCACTCTTTAAAACTGGGGAGCCCTGTGTTCTCTTTTTCCCTCCTCTGGGTCTGCAGGATGTCTGCTATTTTCCTTCCTAGCTTTACGTGCTTCATGACTAGCACTCCCCACTGCAATGAAAAGGGCATTCAAATGTACTAAAGATAACAACAAAACCATTTTTAACTGTTTGGAACTGTTTTTGAAGCTGCATTAAAAATCATGTACAAAACACAAACAATTATCTACTGATAGTATGAACTACAAAATAATAAAAATGAAGAATAGGGAGATTATTGGATAGGTGCCTACGGAGGGTAGAGAAGGGAACCATTAAAAAATAAACATTCTTTTGGGTTTATATATATATATTTATATTTTAAAACTTTAATGTTAAAAGTGAAATTGAGTTTAAGCAAAAATACATTTTGTTTACTTTTTTTAAACAGTATTCTAGCATATACTATTAGAATACTATATGTGTCCCTATCATTTTTGTGTTATAGAAAAGTGGGCTATTGCATAACTGACTGATGGTAGTGTAACCTGAAGAAGGTTTATATTAGTTTAATCACAATAAGCTATGCAGCAGCACAGATGGAACAGGCCTTGAAACTCCAGACCGATGGATTGTGGGATTAAATCCCAGGTGGTATACTGTTGTTGTACCCTTGAGCAAAGTACTTCACTTGAATTGTTCCAGTAAATGTCCAGCTGTATAAATGGTTCTCTAGGTTGTATTTGTAAATTATTTTGTAAATTGACTTACCTCTAAAATAAAAGAATAAACAAACAATTATATTGTTGGATATTGTTTTACGTAATTGCATATTCCTGTTAACTTGTGCTATCAAAATGAAACATTGTTACATATTTTATTGCACTTGTTATGACACAGATTTGGTAATATTAATGGACTTTGACAGACCACTGCATGGTAAAAAAATACAACTATTTAGTAACTAGAATAACTAAAACAACCCAAAAAGCCCTCTATATTTCAAATATGTTACCACTTCACCAACTGAATTGAATTGGTTCCTAAACTGAAGTTTAGTAAAGACAGATTGTACAAACCCAGAATTCAATTAAGACATGACACCTGGGTTAACATCCCTGCTTCATACCTGCTTTGTATAATATTAACATTGGTTTGTTGGCTTTATTGCTTTTTTTCAAAGAGTTTAAAAAGAGCAAAGAGAATATTCCCAGACTAAGGTATTTGATACAACTAGAGTTTAGAAGTCTAAAACAGAGAAATCTTTGTTGGGCTTTCATTCAGGAACTAAAAATAAACCAAGAAGTTAATACTAGAAACAACTAGAAATGTATTCTCAACCCAAATTTACTATATCCCAGCAGCAGAGCTGAGCTGTTCCAATGCAAAACATCAGTACATCAGTAGGGCTTATACAAACACAGACAGCAGCACCTGTTGGACAACGTTCATGCTAGTCAGCATTAAATGAAAGGGTTAAGGATGCCCTGACTCAGTTCTCTTTTTCTGCAGGTTAGTTACTTCAGCAACAATAAAAATATGTCGTAGATTAATTAAATTAACAAACCAAACACGTTTCTTAAAATAAGTATGGCAATTATAGAAGTAGTACAATATGATTCCTGAAAACCGGTGAACTGTTATTACAGTAAGTGGATGATAGTCCTGGTCAATTGGATAGCTGCTCCCAGTAAAAACAATGAATGATGATGCCAATAGTTTATGGAAAAACCTTAAACCATACATTTTTAAAAACGGGACAATGAGCTGACCCTGAGTTAGGAACAATGTATTGTTTTGCATACTGTATATCATGTACCGATTTAACGTATTTCAGGATTTTTTTTTCACTTCAATATCTTTCAAAGTATAATAATAATGTCGTTAGAATATTTCTACAGAACGAAATAACTCGATTTTCCAGTGATAGTAAAAGTTCAATATGTTAAAATATGATTTATTTTGAAAATATACGCAACTGTTATAAAACATTCAGTTTGTTGAGCTTTTCTTCATAATATTAAAAAATGTATTTTTAGTGTCTCAAGGTTTTATTTTTCATTTTTGCATTTTTTTTGCACATTCTATACTGCAGATCGTAGTAGCTGGTTTTGAAAAGAACATCTCGGTTTACGGGCGTGTAGCAGCGAAGATTAGTCTGATGGTGCAGATTCCAGTCCGTGTTTTGGTCTGAGCACTGACTCTCTCCCTCAGTAATGCGCGGCGTGTATGTGTTTCTCTGTTTCTCGCTTCCTCTCATAGACTGTAATACAGAATCTCAGTATGTATGAGAGAAGTTGTCTGAACATAACATAGTGCTGCTTCACGAACCGGATTTATGTAGCTGAACTTGGCACAAAGCGTTCATTTTCAACGGAGAGTGCAGCACCCTTTGCTGCTTTGATTGCAAAGTAAAAGTCTGATTTGTGATTGATAAAGATTTTTAAAAAGCTGCAGTGGAAGAATATTGGAAACCACGGAGCGCGTGTTAAATACAAACGGGATTGTGGTGTCGTTTTGGTTTCTTTAACTGGGGTCTGCTAAGGAACGGATTTTTCACAAGACTGTACAATGTTTAGAATAGAAGCCGTTTTTTGCACTTTCTCAGTGCTGTCACTTGCAGTTGGAGCTGATCTTAAAGCACGGAGCTGCAGCGAGGTCAGGCAGGCGTACACTGCTAAAGGCTTTAGCCTTGTCAATGTCCCTCATCAGGAAATATCAGGTAAGGATGAGAATTATGCTTAAGTCAACTTGTCACTTACACTTACATAATCAGTTAATTATCTGTTATTGAATACAACGAGTGGGAATGGAAAAACAATAATTGTCAATATAAAAAGGGGCTTTACGTTTAGCCGGTAGTTACAGGTACTGAATGAACAAATTAAGTTAAAACGCGAAAACAAACCGAACACTAAATAAAACAAGCATGTATAGTTAAGAAAATTTAACTAACACAGTATTCTTTCCATAAAACTGAAGTAATTTAATTTTTTGCACATATAAATCTACCTATTTCAAATTAACATATAGTAAATGCACGTGGCTCTACTTGTTAAAACAATGGTGTATTATCTTTAGAAACTTTAAAAATTGTATTTTAAGAGCACGTCATTAGACCAGATCTGGGGATAAATACTTTACTTAATAATGTCACTTTATGGTTTGAAGTGCATATTTTAATTATTAATGCTGTGCAGACTGTGTAGATAATCAGCTCCTAACATTGCCAGCGTTCACGCTATTGTAGGTTGCTGTGTAATTATTAAGATTATAAGATATCCGATGGTAGATGGAATGATATATATATATATTTCTCCATAACTCCATTATTAGCTTTTAATTAACTTAGATCCGAGAAAGCAAGTGTTGACGCACTCGGAATCAGGGTAGTCAATCGTGGATTGGTCCGTGATTGAAACTATTGATACCAAGCTCAATTGGTAAATGGTGCAACTTGTTACCTTGAGTAGCTACGTTGAGATATCAGAGTACCATTGCTACAAAATTATACTCAGCCGCAATCCTCATTAACAATTTCCCCTATTAGTAATTTCCTAATCGCTTAGCTTTCTAGCTGAACTGAAGTTTATGCACTTCATTCTTCAGTTGAAGTCGGGAATTCTGTGATTTACAGTATTAAGTTGGAAAGAGAGCTGGAGGTATTGCTGAGAGAAAAAGCAACATCGCTGGAGCTATTTTTGACAGGGAAATCAACTTCTTAAATATTTCTATTAGCAAACTAAGCGCCGCAAAGCGCGAACAAATAAAAAGTAACGGTTTTCTTAGAAATGCTGTTCGTAAACCAAGCGTCTTTGATATACTGTACCTCGTTGAAAAGACTTCACAGATGGTTGCACAACTTTGGCAATTGGAATAGTCTGACATTTTACAGAAAAGGCCAATGAAACCTACAGATCAGTGTAGCAGGCGGTGTTTAAGCTGATCTTTTATTACGATAATTTCAAGCCTGTATTGCATTTATACTTTCACTCAAGGCGTTCATAAAAGGTCAGTTTCATCTTAAAGGAAAAGTCTTGTAAATGACACATTTTATTGCATGTAATCAACAATAAAAAAAACGACTTTCTGAGCAACTCAAGAATTGTTTTCTGCAATTTTACCTCTGTGACTGGGGTATCTGTTAATTTACTAAAAAGTGAACAGTTTTTGGGAACATTTGGCCCACAAGAAGGATGGATATGACGGAAAATTTAAATTATATTGAAAAGCTGCATTAAATTACATATGGTTCCATAAGTGTAGTTTTGTAAGGCACGTCGAGGGAAGTTTGATTGTTTTATTTTTAATTGAGTGTAATTTATAAATGCCATGCATGAAGTCCAATTTAATAAAGGAAAGATTATTTGGAAAAAAAAAACATAAACAAGCAAATAATGTCTGTCTTTAAGGCCCTTTGGTAACCTGTAGAGAATCCGGAAGTTCTTCTAATAAAATAATACAAATACAGTATGCGCTGAAACAGTACGCAGGGGACTTAAACTTTTGGCTCCCTGGAAGTTTTGAACCTGTTACTTGAAACCCATGCCAGATATGAATCCAGAATGAATGTTGTTGTACAGATTCTCAATTTGGTTTGACTCTTTTTTTTTCATACTGTAAGTACAAACTTTGTTTAATTCCCTTACAGCATCCATACAGTAATCATATTTTTTATCATATGGTAAATTATTAAAGACCACCTTATGTCCAGTAGGTGGCTCTTCTGTGTAATATCAGGCAACGTAAAGTATTGAAGATTACTAACCTTTTACAGTTGAATTACACAGCCTGGAGCATGGCCTCTTATAACTCATGAAATATAACTACTGTCTAATACCACTTAATACATATAGCACATTGACGATAGGGTTTCAGTGAATAATATATTTTTCATTCAATTATATATATATACATTTACATTCATTGAATTTTATTTATGACCCAATTAGAAAAACAGATGATATATATCAGTTCATGTTTTACTTGTCATTTAGAGGAACTATACGTGTCCTTTCATAATGATATTATAAAAGAAATAGAATTGAAAAAATCAATTTTATAATAAGCGGTGTTTCATGCAATTACTGAGTGTGGTTTGCTTCAGTAGTATTGCTGTGTAGTGTCGTCTAGCTTTGCTAAAGGGAGTGCTGAGTGCTGACAGCAGTTAGCATTCCTGGCACTCTGACTGCAACAGATGATATTTACATTTGGATGCCTATTCCTCTTGAACAGTACGAATGTACAGTATGAATGCTGGAACTCAGACTCATTTACAGAATATGTGAATTTAATTGAGAAATAAGCTGCTGATTATTGTTAGAGCTTGCACATTTTACTGTAGTTCACGCATACATTTTTGCTTCTCAGTAGAAAGGTACTGTACTGTATACAGTACGCTGCCTGGTTTATGCTGAATTTTAACACATATCACTTAAGCACATGTGAAAATTATAATCAAGGTATATGAATATTAATAAAATAGGCATGATTTTTTAGAACATGTTTTTTCACATTATCTGTTTTCATATTATCAGAATTTAAAATGATCGGTGGACATTGTGCGTTTTTTGTTGGTTGTGGAATTCTGTCCATATAATAATTAACTGCATTTATGCAGTGATTTTTGTCTTCCTGAGTGACTTGATGCTGCATGCCTCCATTATCATCTCTTACACAGTATGTGGGGAGCCTTTTCTATTAGGATTTAATAAGGAAAACTAAGAGTTCGGGGAGCACAAGTCACGCTGACATATACTGTATGTTCTTGAACTATGAACTACCTATCTATGAACTAAAGTCAGCTTCTAGAATGTGACATTCTTTACAGATGTCCTATCTAAATGAATGATTCATTAAACAATTAAAGGAATTAATGCCAGATTATAATATACCATATATAGTACCATATATGATATATTATACTAATATATTAATGTATGTTACTATTTGTATTTCCATTGTCATTTTACTTATACATGATGTTATTACATGACTGTATTTGGATCAGGAGATATGGATATGTCAAGTTAAACCATTTAAAAAGGAAACAGGAAATTCTGGACCACTTTTAACTTAAACTATCCTTTTTATAAACAGTGTATTTTTAGTGGTTTCTGGAAGTTTGTTGGGAATGGCCTAAATCAGTGGGTACGTCTCTGGACATGTAGGATTCTGGGTTCATGTCCCTGCTAGAGGCAGTGCTGTTGCACAGGAAGGTGCTGTATCCACAGTGCTCCAGTTCACACAGCTGTATGAGCAGGGAACAGCATTGGCTGGGAGCATTGGCATCCCATCCAGTGAAGAGTCTTGCGTTCTCCAATCATTTGCAAAGATTTCTGTGCAATGGAAACCAGGATGTGTTCCGGCCCAATAAGGCTTTGGTTCAAATACAGTAATTACCTACAGCAACTTTTTTAATTACGATGCAACACATTATTGGTTTGTAAATCTCCTCTTTTGCTTGTTAATGAATGCAGTGAAACCCAGTTACATTCTAAATGATCAAACCACTTGGGGCATGGATAGTGTTGAGTTACTGCGATATCAGAAGTGAACTTAACTGGACTGTCATAAGTACAGAGTATTGTTTCTTAATTAAGATCACCAACAGGATGTTATTTCTCAGTCAAAATAATTTATTTTTGCAGAATTAAAAGAATTTGATATTTTTAAGTGGCTGTATAGACCTTACGTTTGACCTGAAGCTAATGTTGATGGCATCTGTGGTGTGATCCGTAGTGTACACAAACACACAGAGTGGGGAGATTGTTCTCCAGTGATAAGAACTGCAATGTAATCAATTTAAACAGCATAGAGTTTACTATATTAAAAAGAAGAAAAATCGGTCATTTGTTGCATGTCATACTACCAGTGTCAAATAATGACCTTTCTATTAAAGATCCTTTATGCATAGCTTATTACAATCCCGTGAGATCTTTTATCTTGTCATTCTGCAGGTGCAGCTAGAAATTTGGAAAATGCATTTATTAGGTCCACCTGTTCATGGACTTCATGAGTACCTGATCTAGGCTCCCACTTCTGTGTTTTTCTCTTTGCATTTAATCACAGAAGGTAATGAAAAACAAAGCTTTTGATAACTTTAAATGCCACAGCTGTTTGAAAATACTTTGATCATTTTGCCGGCTAGATGTGTCTATAGGAAAGGTATTGAATGACATCCATTAGCATCATGCTATGTGATACTGAAATTCTTTTTTTTTTCATTTTTAAATGTTTTATTATTAAAAATTGACTGTCAAAAGTGGATGGTCAGGAAATCAAACAGTAAATTTAAAGGTTTTACTATTTTGTTGTTTATTTAAAAAGTAAACATTAATCTTTCTGATTTTAGGTGGGGAAGGACAAAAGCCACTATTCTTGAAACAGTTACAGGTACCATATAATTAAATGTCTGGCATTTCAAATGTGAGAAATAGTTAATATATTAAGTGTTTGAAAGAAGGTTAATCTTCACCATTTCATAGGTTTCCCTTTTTGTAATTGCCCTAATGAAGTAAGAAAGTTGATGCATCCAATAAAAGTGAATGTAAAGAAGAAATCAGTCTTGCAGAATAAGCTGCAAGTTAAAAGTATAGGGACCAACATGTGGTTGAGCAATGCGTCTTCACTGTTAAAAAAAGTGGGGGTAAACTAAGTGGACATAAAAAGGGATCCTTCATGTGAGAATGTACATATCATTTTTAGGGACAGAATGCGAAA